AGTTTACCTTGAAAAGCTTCATAGAACACACCGACCTTACCTAACCTTCTTAGTATGTTAAGATAAGCATCTTATTGCTTCGTAATTACAATTATTACTTAACCTATACCTATAATAGGTTAAGTAATAATTGTAATTACGAAGCAGTAAGATGCTTATCTTAACATAAAAGTTTAGGTAAGGTTGGATGTTTTCTATGAAGCTTTTCAAGGTAAAATAAAAGATTCACAATAAATTAGTATGTCACATATGCACTTATTTAATAAGTCAATATTGACTAAGAAATTGCGAGAACGGGTTGTTCCTTGAGCTAGAGCAGTGTACCATCGAGGTCCACCTCGGTAACGTTTGCCTCACGTTCAAATGACCTCCTGTGTTAAGTTACTTTTAGACCCAGCATGTGGAGGTTGGTAGTGTAGTGGAGGTCACGGTGTTGACCCACATGTGACCTCTGGCTGGTGCCAATAACAGCCTCCACAACCATTTATACCTTGTGGATTCGGGCTGGTATACCTGGAGCATGACTGGAGTGGAGTCTGGGATTTCTTCTACTCCCAAAGCCCGGCCCGGTGCCAGGCTTGACTTGTGACAACTTCGTCCAGTAAGCTGTTGCTTGGCGCGCCCCGCGGGCCCACATATCCATATATGATATTTCGTCAAGAAGCTTTTTTTTCAATATAAGTGAGCACTCGTGCTACTGGTGCTTGTACTGTTCAGCAAATGTCACTCCACAAGTCAGGACCCGGGGCCGAGAGCAAGGGCATGTTCTTAACATAGTTATTTATGTCTGCTGTGTTAATATTTGTTGTAGTGACTTAACTGTATTTATCGTTCATTAAGAAGTCGTCAGGATCTTTAACCTATAAATTGTCTATTGGGTTGTTACACGTACCGTCAGTCTGTTCTCTTTCAATATCACTAATTTGTCATCTTCTATGTACGGGTGTAATCTGTTACGTACCTCTATAAGATACGTAATTAAATAAATTAATATGTACCTTTATAATTGTGTGTAAATTACAAGTATGTATATTGATATACTTATATGTTCTATGTAAAATAATTTCATGTTACATTGTTGGCGTTAGGCCCAACGTATCGTGGGAATGATTGTTTTATTTCTTTGTGTACTCAGTTTCCCATGGGAACTAATGATTTATATGTGATCATATGTGGGTAACATAGGTGAATAATAATTGTGTGAACTGTATCTGGCAGTAGTCCGTTGCTGGATGAGCATGCCATCATTCCCCTTTGTATGTGTATTTTAATTACTATGTAAAGCAATAATTACCTTATTTTTGTTATACCAATATGTATTGACCATTCATTAAGTTAGTTTAAGATTACTCTTGTCACAATATATTGCTCCATTGTAGAAATAATAAATATTGTAACTTTGGCAAATTGTTCGCGGGGCAGAAGCAATGATTTTGACTCTCGCAGATATGTAGGTCAGTAGCTGTAACGGAACCAGAGAGTTAACATCTTGTGGAGTTAAGTTGTACATTATTGTTCTGTCATAACCATACATATAATAATATATTAATTTCTGGGAGAGACAGTAATATTTTAATTTGATATATGTGTGCCCATTAATCATCTGTTTGTTATTGAGATTTATGTAATATATATATATAAGTTTTATATGTAGTCTTTCAGTCCTAAAGGAAGATTTTTAACAAAGTGCTCATTACTTATCAAGGGGTTATACTGGTGACCCGCTCTTGTGAACAGCAGTTTTAGTAACCCTAGACCTTTTTTAAAAGTTAGCTGTTGTAGGGTCACGAGCCGTAACGTACGATAGGTAACATAATCTACACCTGCATGCCACCCCTCCCCCATACTCCATACACACCCTCCCCCATACTCCACATCCCCTATACCACCCCACACCCCCTCCACCACCCCACACCCTCTCCACCACCCCACACCCTCTCCACCACCCCACATCCTCTCCATACACACCCTCCTCCATACTCCATACACACCACACCCGAGCCCTCTGCTGCCAAAGTGGCGTCTCCCCTTTAATCACACTTCACGAAGAATATGCTGAGCGCTGGAAGGACGCGAGGGCGAGCTGGAGGGAGACAACCACATCTCTATCACCACCAGTTATCAACCTAATTGAGGCATCGCTGACGCGTGCGTCTGGTAACGGTGAGGTTGGGTCACGGTCCTGTATGGTTGGTGGTACACACACACACACACACACACACACACACACACACACACACACACACACACACACAATACCTGTTGATTGACGGTTGAGAGGCGGGACCAAAGAGCCAGAGCTCAACCCTTCTTCTTCTTCTTGAGAATAGGTGCAGTTTACATGAAGGGTTTACCCTCCCCAAATGTTGGGAGACGCGTGGACGTTGAGGAGGAGAAGAAAGTCAAAGGTGTTAGAAGTGTCGGGCCGGAGAGACAGAGAGAGGAGTGGCTACGAAAATAGAGGCGGACGTTAGAGGGAGACTCCCCGCACCGTAGGGCGGGGTGACGAGTTCACTGCGGCAGCTGATCCACGCACGGTGGAGCGGTGTGCGCAAGATGTCAACTAATATTTCTCCGGAAACTTGTGTAACGGAAAGCGCAAGCAGTACGCATTCCAAATCACCCATGTGTCAGGGGACACATGGCCACCAGGCGGTGCCCTCGGCTGAGACATCTTATCCGGCACTCTATAAACAAACTCCTTCACCCGCGACACCCAGACAGTGGACGAGCACCACGGGATCGGAAGCACCCGGGCATCCCGATAAGGGCCCAACACCGGACCCTCACAGGGCACGACCCCAGCAGTCGGGACTAGGCTTCCCCCAGACCGGGGCAACGAAGGAGGGGAACCGCAGGGGATGCAGGCGCAGCATCGGCATCACAGGGCACAGGAGCCGAGGCCCCCCGGCGCACATCTTTCCGCAACATCACGACGAGGTCCCGACCATCAGGGACAACCCCCCACTGCGGGGATCCAACAGCAGGAGACGCAGGAGGGGGGGCACAGGCAGCAACTTCGGAGCCCCGCACAGCACCATCATCCACGGCGGGGGACGCCAGCTGAGCACCATACTCCCCCACCTCCTCCCAAGGCACACCACGAAGGGGAGACACACTCCGAGCCCGCCGCGAACGCTTCGAGACAGGCCGCACCACACCACGCCCAGCAGGCCCCTCCGCAGGCACAGCCACCATCTTCACATCCACACAGGCCACACCCGCACCGTCCGAAGAGTCCACAGAGGCCACATCACCCGCACTGTCCGCATCATCCAGGGAAACAGCCTCAGAACACCGACGCGCACGCTTCTGCAAAGGGATGGAAAGAGCAGAACCACCGTCGCCAACACACACAGGCACGGCAGGCACCTCCCCCTGCCGAAGCCCCCCCTCCAAAACAGCAGAACCCGCGTCCCCGGGAGCCGTTACCACATCCACTGGCGGGGGTGGGACATGAACCTCCACCGGGACATCCCGCACTACACGCAGCGCAGGCGACGGCCCGACACCCACACACACCGGCTCAACAACCCCAGGGGCCACAGCAGTCACCAGACGTGTCGGACAGGCCGTAGAACTCGCCTCAACAGGCGGAGCAGCAGACAGGCAATCAGGCGCCTCAGGCACAGCACCCACTCCGTCCTCAGAACCGTCCGAACGCAACAGGGGCGGAAAATCCTCCGCACGAAAAACATGCACCCTACCAGTTGCTCCCACGTCGCACGCTGCAGCCAGATGACCCTCGTGACCACACCGATAACAGGTGCGCGGTTGACCCCGGTACAGGCAGCGGAGTGTGTAACCCAACACGGACATCGACGACGGTACACTACACTTCAGCGACATCGTCAGGGTGCGGGAGCCGTCAAGCATACCAACACAGTGCCCGGCAACGACCTTGTTCCAACGAACACTTAACACTGTCCCAAATCGTTCAAAGCAGGAGGTCAAGAAGTCGTCCTGAAATTCGAAGGGGGCACCATGCACCGCCACAGACGTCAAGGTGACACTAAGATTCACTACCTTAACAGAACCAGCAGTATCAGGGAGAGGGTAAACACGCCCCTCACACCGCTCGAGAAACGCCTGAAAGGCAGCCTGGAGGCGGAACTTGACCACAGCACGGTTGCCCTGAAGCAGCTGGATGCCCACCAGGTCCGACAGCTGCACCTGAAGCACGTCCACCAGGGCGACACCAACCAACGGATGGTCCACCGGCACCGTAAATGCCAGACCAGCCGACAATGTCCTCTTCACTGGAGGGCGAGAAGTCCCCATGGCTAAGTCAAACGTCACCCTGTCAGTGGCAAACCACCACCAGCAGGGCAAACCAGCAATCACCCAACGTAAACACTAGCCAGGAGCGGAGAGACCTCAGGAACGTCCGACCTGGCCGGTGGTCACCACGCAACTCCAATTGCATCTCACAGCACTGGTAGGAGTGGACAATAGCACTGCCGGCTGCCACTACAATATGTGTATTATATGTAGATTATAATATATTACGCACACAGGCTGTGAACCTTGCGAGACAAACTTAAAGTGTCGGGAGGACGGGGTGTGAGGAGCAGCTGGAGCACTCCCGGGGCTACTGTAGAGGGGCACAGGCGTCCCTCGGGGGCACAGGCGTCCCTCGGGGGCACAGGCGTCCCTCGGGGGCACAGGCGTCCCTCGGGGGCACAGGCGTCCCACCAGCTGGGTTGCACACCTCAGTGGCGGCTCTCATCAACCACACCTCTTATATCCTGGTAACCTAACCCCACAACACAGCACACAAGCAGCGGAGCGGGGAGACGGAGGTGACAACCACAGCAGACACTCCAACAACACACTATGATACAGCAGGTGACTGGAAATACATTACCTACGCTGCTCGTTACAGGGCATAAGGAGGGTAGAGTAAGCCTAGTTCCTCACCAACCACTGCCACAGCTCACTACATGGGTGCAGTGTGCGGGTGCTCTAACACACGAACGCCTGACCACTTGGTTACTCACATGCCAGCTTGGCTCCCATCCTTGGGGGTCTAGCCAGAGGCTGTGTGGGGGGCTAGGCCGTCAGAGTATGGCAGCGTGATGACGTCATTTATGTGGTTACGTCAGGTGGTGGACCGGGTGATGACGTCAGCTCCCACAACACAGCCTCAT